ATGGCCGGAGTGCTACCACTCACTTTACAAAGTAGCCCTATCCCCAGGCTGAAGGTCATGAGGAAGTGAAAGTAATTATCTTAAAGTGAAACTTTAGCACCATTTATACCCTGTTATTGGTTGTTCACATGATAAAGCTTTAAAGCAATTCTCTGGCCATTAGAGCCATTGCTCCTAAGTAAAAATGAACAAGAAACGGACTAGGAAGGCAACAAGAGCATTGACTGGTTTTGCCAACGTGTTGAGCTGAACTGATTTGCGTGTGATTATATTAGTCACAACCCCACATATCCCCTGGCCCTATAATAGCAGTCTGAATATGTAGGTGTCTAACACTGTACTGTTTGGTGGCTCTCCAGAGTGTCTAACCAGATTTACTTATTCTTCTGTGGTTTATCCCCTTCTCCAATAGGGCAAAGGAGGGCCTGGACATTCACAATAGGTACTGGGATTTGTGTTGAGAAAAGGTTGTGACCCAGTATGTTAACAATAAGTTGTATTTACTCAAACCACTTCCATTTATAAGCCAGCATGGGTAAAACACCAGGGCTATGTCTAGACTGGCATGATTTTCCGCAAATGCTTTTAACAGAAAGCATTTTCGCCATTGGGGCTTTGTTGCACAAAACAGTTTTTAGCTGTCTACACTGGCCCTCTTACGCAAAAGCATTTGCACAAGAAGGCTTTTTCCCAAGCGGGAGCAGCATAGTATTTGCGCAAGAACACTGACAATCTTACATTAAAACTTGCCAGCTGTCTACACTGGCGGCTTGAATTTCCACAAGAACACTGACTTCCTACTGTAAGAAATCAGTGTTTCTTGCGGAAATACTATTCTGCTCCCATTCAGGCAAAAGTCCCTTTTGCGCAAAGCTTTGGCGCAAAAGGGCCAGTGTAGACAGCTCAGATTTGTTTTCCGCAAAAAAGCCCCGATCACAAAAATGGCGATCGGGGCTTTTTTGAGGAAAAGCGCGTCTAGATTGGCACGGACGCTTTTCCTCAAAAAGTGCTTTTGCAGAAAAGCGTCAGTGCCAATCTAGACGGTCTGTTCAAAAAATGCTTTTAACGGAAAACTTTTCCGTTAAAAGCATTTCCAGAAATTCATGCCAATCTAGATGCAGCCGTTAACATGTTTTGTTAGTCTTTAAGGTGCTACTAGTCTATTTGTTGCTTTTTAAGTTTTTCTTGTTACAGACTAACTCAGCCACCGCTCTGATCCATTTGTATGGAGAAGAGAGAAAGGTGAAGGGACTTAGCCACAGTCACACAGAGCCTATGGGAGAGGTCAGATTAGCTCTCAAAGGGATGACCCGATTCCTAACCCTCTATTTCTCCAGAGTCCAGGCCCCACCACTTTAAAACCACCATGCTCCACCCATTGCTGTCTAAAGCCTCCCCACCCACCACTAGATTCTTTGCTGGTGCATTAGTGCTTACAAATGTTTTTTTTCCCCATTAGTACGGCTCCTATAAGAACTCCAGAGAACATTGCTCTACTGTGTGAACAGAGGGCTAAAACTTCCTGCTATTCCTAGTGTGCATTATAAGAGGAGTTTCTAGAAATTGGAGCTGGAACAGACCTGTTACATCAGACTGTCCTTTCCCATAGAGCTCTGCAAAACATACCAAGGAGCAGATTTACTAGTGGTTTGTCCAGGCTAGTTTTAAATGTTCCAAGCAATGAGGCTTCACCATTACCCTTGGGAAATTATGCTGCAATCATCTAGATAATGATAGCACCACAAAAATCTCATCTCATCTTCCACTATAAGGAGGATCTGTAAATAATAGGCCTGGTAAGGAATTTGCCATAGGGTAGCAGAACAGCCCTGTTTTTCTCCCAGTACTAAAAACTCCCTACCTCATAAAAAGGCCCACAACTTCCTGAATAGAGCCTCTTATGCACCTAAAGGCTCCTTTCGTTGACTACACCCACTCATTCACAGCTGGAAGACTGACAAACTGATTAGGATCTGAGGGGTAGCCATGTCTGCAAAAACAAGGAGTCCTGTGGCACCTTAAAGACTAACAGATGTGTCAGCTTGATTAGGGTCTCTGGCTATTTGGTGGCTGCAGCTTTTTAAAAGGGGCAGTTCACGGGCCCATCAGTTGAGTTCCTAAGGGAGTGATCTTTTACATATGGAAAAGACAAACTCCAAAGATGCTTTATAATAGATCTGTGCATGAGGCCATGCCTGCCACTGGCTGTTGGGAGGTACTATCTGTACATGTAGGGAAGACAAGAATCTCCTGACTTTCACCTCCAGCTCCATTTGATCTCACGTAAACTGCTCTCATAAGTACCTTTTTGGAGGAAGCATATTAATGTGGCCAGTACCACTTTATCTAGAGGAGAATGGAATTTTCCCTCCCAGCCAACTCTGTGTACCCCCACTCTAAGGAACGGAAAAGTTTGCATACTACATGGGCCATACAATTTGTTTAACTAGCAGACATACCACAGTACATTTCTTCTCTGGCGCCCTAACAGGACTGGATCATCTGGTAACGAGGCCAGTTTATTATGCCATGATCACAGCAGTTGAATTAACTTCTCAATTACCATTATCTTTTAGTAGTCAGAGCTTTCTACAGACCTTCTACTCTCCTGATGGCAGACATCTCTCTGCAGCAGGTCTTTTACCTCCTTGCACATCACCAGCAACAGACAGGAAAGCCCATACTACAAACCATCTGTTCCTAACTTAGGGCATTTTCCCTTTAACTCTTTGACCCCAACATTTTCTCTTTTCCCCTAATTATAAGCTTGAGTTTGAAACATGGTGTGGATCTAGGCTAAGAGGAAATGCTTTATTGGAACCAGGCTTTACTAGTCAAAATGCCAACACTAATTTGTGTGCATTTTTTAAAATCCTATTGGGCTTTTTTTTTAACTCAATTTCCTTCATTGCTTTTCCTTGAATTTACTCATTTTACCTAAGTGGTCTGTCTGGTAAGGATTGGTAGAAAAAATCCCACCTACTTCTCAGGGCTTGTCAAGTTAACACAAAGTTGCAAGTCCCTCAGCAAAAGAAACAAACCTCAAAAATCTCATTGATTCTTCTCCACCCCTAAATTTTTCCCTACGAAATGATCTTGGGGAGACTTTAAAGGTAAAATACTGTCAAAAGAAATAAAAGGAGAAGCCACTGTTAGAACCAATGTAGGTAGACATGAGAGAGACAGTGTGGCCTTGTGGTTAGCACAGCTGTGCTAGATGACAGAGCCCTGGGTTCTATTTTGAGATTTGATCCAGACTTAGTGTGACCTCAAGTAAATCACTAAACCTTTCTGTAATTGTTTCCACACCTGTACAGTATGGTTAATGTTTCCTGCCTTTGTAAAATGCTCTCCTGAGGCCCAGTGCAGGCCTGTGTTCTGTCCACTAAGCCACATTCCCTCCCATAGTACATGCTTTGAGCCCTTACAAAATATCCCTGTGAGAGAGTGGAGACAGGAGGACCTACCATTCCAGGGGTTAAAGAATACTTCTAGCCCCACCCCACTTTACCAGCAGCCAATGCCAGGCCTGAAGGGAGGAGAAAAGAAAGGAACCTGGATCAGTGCGTAGCTAACTAGAGAGGAGTCAG